ACGGGCTGATGGTAATGATGCAGATGCTCCACTGTTTGTCATGACTTCTCCAGACCTCTTGAACACACAGGAAAAGCCAGCCACCAAAACCTAATTTGTTTGCTTATTTGAGGCAAATAAATTGCCACTTGTGTACACAGTGCAGTGCTAATGCCTTTATTACAGGCGTTTCACCCCGGCTAACACAAGTCCTCAAATGAATTCCTCATAAAGAGTTTCCTCTCTTAGAACAATTCAGATCGCAATGTTCTCACTGTTTCGTGTCCTGGTTTATTAGCAAAATGTTTGTGTTTACCAGCACCCTCCCTTCCTGGCAGAGCATTTGTTGTGTCTGGGGCTGGTGCAGTGATAACAGCGGTGGTGCCATGCGGGGCTACCAGTGCCGGTGCACGCTGCCCTACTTTTGGTCCCACGTGCCTCTCCTCACGTAAGGTTTGCACATGTGTTCACACGGGGCTGAAAATTTTCTCGTGCCTTTATGTTTAATTCAAAAGAAAATATCTTGAATATTCCCTTTTACTCCTGGCCCATCAGAACTTGCGTCCCGATGTGATTCGGTGTGTAACGAGCTCCCTTTGATGCTCCTAGGAGTCGTCTGTCTCGAGAAGAGAAGAGAGCTCAAAGCTCAGCCACTTTGCAAGGCGATGAGGGAAAGAAAGCCCTTCTTCATGAGCTCTACACTTGCTCCTTGCAATCTTCTGGCTGTGTTGGCTGAGCTAAATGCTGCCTTTTTGCCCTGCTTTCCATGAAAATACAACCCAGAGAACAAGCTTTTTCTGTCTCTGTCACCAGGAGTTGTTTACCAACATCCGAGGGCTCGGCGGTGGGTGCGGGTGATGCAGGGGACAGCCCAAAGATGGAGCTACACATAGTGAGTGGGGCCATTGGAGATAACCACGGGTGTTTGTGGTGATGGGACAAGACCCCCTTGCCTGCCAGGTCTCTGTTTTACATTGTGCTGGTACATTTGCAGAAGTGGAAATGCGTGGTCTGTGGAGGCAGGCTTGGTCTGCAGTCCTTGGTAGATACACAGAGCCCTTTCTGGGTGTACTTCACATCCTCCTCTGGTGGGAAGTTTCTGACGTGGGGCTCTTCAGCTTTGTTTCCAGGTGGCCAGTTCTCTAGGAGTTAATTATCAGCCAAAACAGCTCTAGTTTTGCAGCCATGTCTTGGCCTGAGATGTAATTTGTCTGCAGGGGGTGCCTGCTTGGGCACTGCAATCCAGAGAGCAATGGGGAGGCAAAGGTCTGGGGCCCGCCTGCATCCACAAAAGCAAGAAGAGCCCTCGTGGTGCATAGCGCTCATTGTCTCACTTTACAAAGCTGCAAATCAGGCCTGTAATATCATTTTAATGCATTTGAGGTATTTGGGTTTGTGTGTGCGTGAGGCTATATGATCTCTCTCTCTAAATGTATAAAAGATGCAGATGAAGAGGAATGTAGATACATAAATATATTCTTACACTCCATCCCAGTGGTGAGCTAGAACCAAAGAAATCCCATTAGTTTCCCAGAATGTGGGATCCCATCCCTCTTTGATGTCCAGGGAGTGCACATAATGCCATTTTCACATGTGAGATGCTGAATCAGGGGATGGTACATTTCAGATTCTGGGAGTTAAGTGCAGAGCCACATTTTTGGCTCAGCTCTGGCTCCTGTAAATTCACATTGCTTTTAGAGCAACACCTTTGCCCCTGGCCATGCCCTGGGATGCTGAGTGCTGATTGATGCGCACTGAAGGACATAAAACAAAACCAAACCTTCCTCATATCTGTCCTAACAACCCCCATTGCTGGATACCCGAATGGGGCCTGGGATGTACAGGAGACACCTCGGAGCCACATCCAAGCCAGCAAATGGCTTTGCTGGGTCACAGCTGACTTCTGGAGAGGTGTGTTGTCTGAAAAAGTACCAGACTGACAGAAAGGCCAGTTTTGCAGCAGGATTAACTCAGCTCCATTTGGAAAGATTTGTTTGAGCTTATTTGCCATGTTTTTTTCATCAATAAATTTATGGTGTGTGTAACCTACAGTGTTTGGGGTTTGGAGGGGGAAAGAGAAATAGGCTCTGCTGTAAATACCCCAGTATTTCATAAATTAACAGTGAAGACCCAGGTGACAGCATAGAGGTGGGGACAAAAGAGCGTTGGGTGGGGATTCACCAGTGAGAAAAGTCGCACTTCAGTCACCTTTCTTGTCGTGTTTGGTTTCTAAGGAGCAAGGTCTCTCTCCTTTCCAGCAGCATAAATGAAGAATAATGTGTTTCTGTGAGTGACGGGGACTGTAATTTGTATCATTGGGAGCACAACTGTGAGCCAAGGGTTTACAATCATGTGCCAGATCCATTTATGTTTATAACTTTAAAGTATGTGTAGCAAGTTAACATTTGTGGAGGGTTTGTTGTTTTTTCAGATGAAAAGTACGAAAACATTATATTTCCTTCCATTTGTGTTAAATCCCACAGTCAAAAGAAATGCCTGCTATTCCTAGGCACTTTCTTCCAAATAAGAGCAAGAAGATTTGACCTACTAAAACTGCTCTGTTAAACACAAATAATAACCATGGGTGCTCTGTTCTGCTCTGGAGACAGATGCATATTGCGGGTCTTTAAGGTATTTATAGACCTTGGAACCTTTGAGGCTAAAAAGTGTTGGAGAAGCAGAAAATGTCTTTGTGAGTTGTGTGCAATGATACTTCATACGCAGAATTTTCCCCGAGAGTCGGTGCCACTCCTGCGCCGGAGCCTTGTCTTCCTGCCGCAGACCTGGTTTGTGTTTATTCTGTTGTACAGAAGTCAAGAAGGATAATGAGAGGATTCAGCGCGTGTTTGTTTAGTGAGAGCAGGCAATAATGGCCTTTCTAACTCACTGCAGGATTTACTTCTCATGAATTAAAAAACAAAGTAAACTGATTACGGAGCAAATTGTGTATTCCGCTGGTTGCAGTCTCCCTTTCAGTCGCTGTTTTCTGGATGCTCAGCTACTCCTGGCACTAGCACGGGGAAGAATTGAGCACCCAGACCTGAGCTCTGCAAACCAAGGGTGGTTTTGTCATTTACCTTCACCACAGCCATGCAGCTCCAATCCCAGTAACAAGACTGGTGCTGCCAACTGCCTCCCAGTTCATCATGAAATTCGTATGAAGTGAATAAGCATCGACAGAGGCGTTTTTTTGTGTTATAATGTAATTCATGTTAGTGCTGGCTTTTAGATCCAGCAGCAGGTAGAAGAGGTGGTGGATGGAGAAGCCAACCTGCCAGAGGTGTTTTTGTACAGCATTACCCCCAAACATGGTGTGCAAGGTGGGACCAGGGTGCCATGGAGCAGCACCCACATGAGACCCCATGGGAAGGCCAATGGGTGCAGGGATGTGGGTGTACATAACTGCGGCAGCAATTTAAGAAACAAATGGGAAAAAAAAAAGACCTGAAAGCTGAACAATGGATGGGAAATGGCACCAGCAGGAGGAGAGGGAGCATTTCTGCGAGGCAAGCAGCGGCCAAGCCCTGCGCCCCCTTATGAGCCCCTGCAGCTTCGCTCGCTCATCTGAGAAATTCAGCAGCAACGTGGCTCCCCATGAGTGCCCTGGGCGTTCAGGAGTGCGGCATCTTCCTACATTACATATCCCTGCGTCCCAAAACCAATATTCCCTTATTAGCACGATCACTGTCGCTGTCAGCCAGCACAGAGGGGCTGCCATCCCCAGCGTTTTCTGTTTTCACAGGCTGCATCCCTTTTTTCACCAGGATCCCAATGTGACATTATTCTCCCACTGAAACCAAAGGAGGAAAAGAAAATCTATTATGTCCTACTCTAATGGCGGCAGAACAGGTTTTTGCTACCAGCGTTTTCAGCACTACAGAGCAGATTTGAAAATGTGAGTCCTCTCCCACGTCTCCAAAGGAAAAAGCCTTTCTTTAACAGTCGCCTCACGAAAGGCCGTGCCCAGGAAGGATAATGGTCCATAACATATTCATTATTTTCAGGACTGTGCACTGAGGTTCTCCCACCGGTGATGTGGTTGGCGGTTTTTTGTTTTCAGTCATACTGTGATAAAAGACTCTGGGGCTCCAGGATGCCTTTCCTCTCAAACACGGGCTTTTTATGGGCTGGGGACCGCTCTGGAGTGGAGCCTTTTGTCCTCCCTTGGTCCTTGATATGGCTTTGAGTTTAAATGCAAAGCCTTAAATGCGGCCAGATCTCAAGCAGGAGGTGGTACGAGTGTGTGGTGTGTTTCAGCTCAGAAAATCTGGCAACTGGATGGAAAACGCCATGAATCTTAGAGTTTGGTGGTGGTAATGTAAAGGCAGAGGTTGGATCCGTGATGCCAGGAGCTGGGGTACCTCACAGTGCTGTTCCCTTCCCGGCTGCAAACCTGCAGCAAGGGCTGTTCTTCCCTTCCCAGCACAACCCGCTTTCTGGCTGTTGGAATTTAACATTGCTCCTGGCTGTTAATCCGTTAAAGTCTCTGTTAGAAATAAAATAAAAAATATATAAGGAAAAGTGCCACTAAAAGGGTTTATGAGGCAGCAGTTTAAGCTACTGGCTTCTCCAAACCAGGGTAGCATCTGTTTCACATTTACAGCTCACCAGAGCCGGTAGCGAAACAACATCCCATGGCTCTGGCTGGGGATGGAGGGGGCGCAGGCTCGGTCCTCAGCAGAAATTGGGGTTTTCTCCCTGCATCCCCGTCCTAGCGGGAGCCCGGTGGGGATGGCTCGGGCTGCATCGCCATCCGGATGATTCACTGTAATTTCTGGGCAGAGTGGCAGAGGGCTTGCAATGCCACTCTCGGATTTGGCAGAGGAAGGGAGACATCAGCCCATTTTTTTCTAAATCTTCTACTTTAGCTTGGGATTAATCATTTAACGTCAGATACGTACAGGTGCTTAGGTATCTCGTTGTGTTAGATCAAAGCAAATTAGAGCCAGCCAGAATGTAAATGCTTCTGGCGGTCAGAGCCTTCGTCTCTGCGCGTTGCAATTCCTTGTATATAAATTGGGGAAAAGCTCTATCTCCCAGTGTGTTATGAAGCGATAATGTTTAGAATGTGGAGATCTTATGGGAGGAATGTCATACATTTACCAGCATTGATTGGTCTTTTCTTTTGCAATTCATTTTGGAGTTTCATTTAGACATCTAGGCTGTGTTCATGGGAACTGGAGACCTCGTCTGTGCAATGGCATTTGCAGGGAGAGTTTCCTTTTATTCTATGCACAGCATCTCCCATAGCAAATTCTTGAGCAACCACAATATTAAAACTTGCTGTTAATTTACAGTTGTGTTATTTTGGCTGGATAGTGGCAGAAGTGGAAACAAATGGCACTTCGCTGTACTTGAGGTTTTAATTGCTGTGCTTGGTTTTCAGAATATGTAGTTTTGGAGGTAGCAGTAGTTTGCTTTTTTCTTTACTCCTTTATTGCAATCACATAGAAGTTTGAAATACTTTCACGTGGTTTTCAGTGGGAAATTTAAGAGGCTTCTTCCAGTTTCATGGCATTTGTACACTGAAAAATCCAGCTGTTTTCAGGGAATTAAACTATCCTTACCCATTTTCTCACTGCCTCCACAGATCCAAGGATGGCCACTTTTTGGAAAGCCAATAAAACCTTTACAAATTCTGTTTGCTGGAGGAAGCTCCGGGTTTATTGAAGATGCCAAAGCCTTTGCTGTGGTTCCTGAGAGAAAAGGCCAATTTTGCAGAGCAGGCAGAGTTTCAGAAGGCCCCAGGGGGGATCAGTATTAGGGTGCTTAATCCCATCTGTGAAAATCCCATCCCCACTGTTGTGGATGCAACCAAATCCTCCCATGCTTGGATGTCCTCCCCTTCCCTGAGCACAGAGAAGGGACAAGCATGGCTTTATGGATGGAAAGGGCAGCTCAGTCCCGGTGCCTTCCCACCCCAGCTGCCAAACCAAGCCAAGGCAAAACCCATGCAGGATCATGCAGCGAGCTGCTGGGCGTTTCAGAAAGCCCAGAGGTGTCAAAGCATAGAAAGGGGCGAGAGCAGATAGAGCAGAAATTATTATCACCTCGGAAATTTATGGCACACTGGTACGATCTTGCTCAGATAAAGCGGAGTGGAACAGTACCTGGCAGCAAGAGGGATGCACACCCCATGCTGATCGTCTCGCTCCAAAGCAGCACACGGCCGAGGGGTGTGAGGAGCAAACTGGGATTAGCAGGGGGCCCAGGGAGCACAGCGTGGGGCTGGGAGCAGTCCCTTCCCCTCCTGGAGCAGCCGGAGCTGGAGCGGCTGATAATGCTGCTGCGGGAGGGCAGGGAGAGCTTCACCACTGGTGAAACCCGCAGCAAGCTCAGAGCAGGGGGGATGCCTTTGATTTATTCCCCAAATAGTGATGAGAGCAGGGGGGATGCCTCCAATCTATTCCCTGAATAGTGGTGAAAGTGGGGAGGATGCCTTAAATTTATTCCCTGAATAGTGGTGGAAGCTGGGGGGATGCCTTCGATTTATTCCCTGAATAGCAACGTTCCTTCTTCTGTGACTATGGAGAGAAAATCAGCGCTGGCCCCAGAGCAGGGGGGCTATATCAGAGTTTTAAAAATTAATTTCTGCACTTAACCTGCAGCTGCAGGGGTGCACTGAGCAGCGGCTGATCAAGCATGCTGAGGATGTACCTGGAACAGATGAGCTGAGACCTGGCCAGGCCTTTGGACACACCATCATCTCTGTAACACCCAACCCCCCTCTTTTATCTCCCCCCAGGACTGTCCCCAGCTCTTCCCCACAGAGGAGATCCTGATCCCGGTGGGAGAGGTGAAGCCCATCACACTGAAGGCGAGGAACCTGCCCCAGCCCCAGTCGGGCCAGCGCGGGTACGAGTGCGTCCTCAGCATCCAGGGCGTCATCCACCGCGTGCCCGCCCTGCGCTTCAACAGCTCCAGTGTCCAGTGCCAGAACAGCTCGGTGAGGGGCCCAAAACTGGTGTCAGCTCACAAGAGGGTGGGAAAAATGCCCCAGTTAAACTAATCCCGAATTCCAGGTGGGAGCCTGGCATGGGCATGAGAGGTATTTTGTTATCCTAACCTGGGGAAGATCCATTTTTCTGACCATGGGGGGTCAGAGAGGGGAAAGGGAAGAGGAGGAGGGAGTGGGAAGAAGGTGTTAAGGCAGACTATTTCACACAGGGAGATAAGGGGAATCACAGACCCCTTATTGGGAGCTGTCGAAGCCCGGGTCATGGTCGCTGGATGAATACAGCAATGCTGAAAAGGAAAAAACCTCCAGGGGAGAGAGCACAGCAAGAGGGGGATGATGAGAGTGGTGCTTAGCCTTGCCAATGGACCCAGCAGGATTTTACCTTCAAAGAGGTCTGCGGCCAAGCAGGGCACACTCTGTTTTAGGCAGCAGAACAAGGTCCGCTTTAATATTCAGCGCAGATGGTCTTAAATTGTTAATGAAGTTTTGAATTTTTAAAAATTTCACTGGATATTTATATATCACCGGCCGTCTTTGGGCCTTGCAGCTTGGCGGATAATAAATGTATTAATACTATATAGTACTTTTCCTACCCAAAGTGATTTACAAACATTAGGGAAGCACTTTTATCCCTGTTAGGCTATTAGGAAGTGGTAGGTAGAGGATGTAAGGGCAATTCAGTATTCACAGCTTTATCAGTTGGACACAAGATCAGCAACTTAGTAAAACCCCAGACAAAGTGCATCAGCACAACCAAATGTGAGTTAAAACAGTGCAACTGCTTTGGCTTAATCAGCATTCCCTCACCCCAAAGAGGATGGCAATGTTCCCTTACCTTTTAAAGTGGTTTTAGCAGCTCTTGATTGACTTAAAGCATCATAGGTGCTAATTGTGGTAATGAGAATTTCAGAATACCCTGGGAATCCACCTAAAGCACCCAGATTCACCCACCCACCACCCCAGGATGTCAATGGTGAATAATTCAGTCGGTGCTACCCTAACCAGGCTGAGGCAGAGGCTGGAAAGGACCTCTCGGCACCATCTCTTTCTCTTCAGCTGTTGCTTGTTTCATCAGCCGAAGCTGTACAGCTGATTTTTAAGCTCCCAGCCACACCAGGGTGTGAGGTGGCTGTGTGAGGAGATAGCCTGGAGGCAGCAGTCCTCCCAGTCTGATTAACTGGAGGGGCTGTATTGATAAGCTAGAGACTGAGTGACAAGAGCAGCCACTGTGAGTGGAATAATTAATCTATTACCTCTCACAAGGACTAGATCTGATTTAATTATCTCTTCCTGGTGAGGAGGAGGGCGTTAAAGCAGAACCCTGGAGATGAAGTGTAGAAGTGTGGTGGTTCAGACATCAGCACACACAAAAAATAATCTTTTTCTGTTAGTGTCTCTGATACATCTTCCCAATCATTTCATTCTCCGCCTTCTCCCTCAGTATCTCTACGATGGGATGGACATCAGCAACTTAGCAGTAGACTTTGCTGTGGTGTGGAATGGGAACTTTGTTATTGACAACCCGGAGGATCTGAAAGGTAACGGCCGCTGAGATGGCTTTTGAGTCCTGGGAGGGAGATGATGGGAAGGGAAGGAAGGAGGTGATGGGAAGGGAGGGAGGTAGGTCATGGGAAGGAGGGCAGTGATGGGGCTGGAGGCAGCTGTTGGGGCAAAGAGGTGTTCGCTGTCATCGCTGCAGCCGCGGGCAGGGATATTGTGGTCCTGATGGAGCAACTCTGCTCCGCTGTAGCGGTGCTCATCAAACATCACTGGTAACGCTTAGCTTTGAAAACCACACATGTGAGCCCACTCTGCAGCTCATTAAGTTGACTCTCAATGCGTGCCTTTGCTTCTAAATCCAAGAGCAGCTGTAGCCCATATGAATATTTCAGTCAGTGACTGTGTCCTCATCCCATCTCCCCTCTAGTGCACCTCTACAAGTGCGCAGCGCAGCGTGAGAGCTGCGGGCTCTGCTTGAAAGCCGACCCCAAGTTCGAGTGTGGTTGGTGCAGTGGCGAGGCCAAGTGCACACTGCGGCCGCACTGCAGCACCACGGCCACCCAGCCCTGGCTCGACTGGTCCAGCAGGAGCGTCAAGTGCTCCAACCCCCGCATCACTGAGGTAAGGGCATCCCCCATCGCTGAGGTAAGGGCATCCCCCATCACCATGGTAAGGGCATCTCCAGCCCCTTCTCCTCACTCCTTCCAATGTGGATTTGTGTTTGCCTCCTTTACCTAAAAATCTGCCATCGTCTGGCCGGCACTGAAGAACAGGAAATAAAACGCTCCACTACTTTCTGTGGAGTTAACGTGTGGGTCCGCCCGCACGTGGCCAGGGTTTGCAACGCAACTGGTGTTGGGGTGACCGCTATGGGCTGTTGCA